TGTTCATTTTCATGAAAACTCTGCCCAGTTGTTTCCCATGTGGTTTTGGGAGGCTGAGAGGAGGGTCAGCACAATCACAAGCTCTTATATAATTAAAAGCTTACATTGAAAAATTATACCCCAGGCTACCCCAAAAAAATGACCTAGTTAGGATGAGATGCTGAAGTTTGTGTGCTTTTACACATTTTAGATGCAAAATTTTTTTGAAGAGGAAAGGTTACTTTTCTGCTCTGATCCTAAGCTCCCTGTCCCACTTTAGGTTTCTCTTTCAGAGCTTAATTTAGATATTGTGCATGAAGTGCTGTTCTGTTTGAGGAACTCCTCAGTGCAAATTGTAATTTGATCAAAAAGCTTCGCTGTCCTGTAGTAATAACTAAATTAAACCGTGTCATGCATTATTCTCTTCTAAGGTACTGTAATGAAAACATTTATTTCTAATAGCTTTTTGCTCTTTTTGAATTTTAAATCTGTGGCAAATCTTACTTCATATTGTCAATACAGTGAAACTGTCTTCATGCAGATCTTTCTAGGCTCCATCCATGGTGCCTAGTGAAATCAAATTTTTAGGAGTGTTTTAGATTTATATAAAAATTATTTTTTTTTCTGTTTTCCTTAGGATGCAAATTTATTTTGAACTTTTATGGAAGCTTTATTGTATTTCTATGCACAAACTGGCTTTATTCCCAAAGAGCAAATCATAAAGATTTAGATAAAGTGTGGTAATACAGAACATGAGTGCAGATTTTTAAGATGTTTGCTCTTTGTGCAGTGAGAACAACTCATTATTTGCTTACCTACTTGGAACCCTTTTGCTTAAATAAGGAAAGAGCAAAATGACTTTTGTTTGGGAATTCCCGTGCTTCCTAATTCTCGGAACAACTTTGTGGGTAAACTCACTTTTGCTTCCAGTTTCTAGGTCTCTCTACTGATTTTAGTATTAAGCACCAACAGATTGTTCTGACCTTCAGTGCAGTATATACAGCTTGAAGTGTCAGCTGAGGTTGTGCCTCAGTTGCTTGAATAGCACCTGTACTGAACAGCATTAGTGACCAGGCTGGAGCAAGCAGTGTCACAGTGTCCCCTGTCTGATGGCCACAACAGGATCCACTCAGGTGTGAGTGTTAGCAAATGCTGGCTGCAGGGGACGTGCCTGAAAGACAAGCCACAGTGGGCAGAACCAACCTTGGTGACTGTGCCTCTTTTCTTCTTTAAATGCTTATCTGTCCTGAAAAGTGATTGTCCAAGGTTTAACAGTTTTAAAAGACATCTAAAAGTTATACTTTTATTGGGATGATCTTTTCCCACAGATAAGAAACTGGTGTGTAAGAACTAGCTGGTGATTAATTGGGCATTAAGTTTTAGCTTGCTGAACAAGAACCAGAGTCTTAGGCTGGATGGCAGCTTGCCATGCCTTTAGGAATCAGAGGCCCCCACCAGAACTAACCCATCTTGATTACCATAGCTAGGCTCCTCTCCCCGCTCTCTGGGGTATGTTAACTTCACTGCCATAATTGCAGAGTGTCTTACTGAGGTGTGACTTCAAAATTGCTTTTTGCTGGCAGTTTGAAACATGATTACGGGGGAATAATCTGAGTCCTGCTGTTAAAGGTTCCTGAAAAGGAAGAGAAGCCATTGCAGATGACACCCTGTAGTGGCATGGAAACCATAACAGAATGCTGTTTGCAAAAGGGTGGCAGCTGAAATGTTTGTATTATCTGTGCTTGTGTTCACCACTGATCCCACATGCAGGTGTGGGAGCATCTAACTAATATGCATGAGGACAAAGCTCTGCATACAGACAGACATCACTTCTCCCCATCCCCTTGTTCACTACAGCTTGTTCATTGGGATGAGGTTGTGGTGGTCTTGTAAGCTCAATGCTCTGTTGTATTTTATGACAGTACTTCATGAATGGCTTCCCAGTTTTGCTACACAAGAAAATGCTGGCATTCAGTGTTGTGGAAGAGAATTCCTCACCAATCTGGCTGCTCTGTTGCTGAGCTTGTTTTGCTTTTCTGGTCTGACATACTTCTTCATAAAATAAATACAAAACCCAGGGCAGACAAACCTGACTGTTAGGCATATCACATAATGTGTTTTATTTGTCAGTGTGCTTTCTGCTTGTTTTCTGTGACAAGATATCCAAGATGTCAGGTCCAAAAGTGGAGTCCTGTGGCACCCTGTGCAGTTTATTCTGGTGTGAAATCTCTCTCTTGACAGCTGACAGTCCAGCCTGGAGCAGTTTCATATCTCTGTGACGCTCTCACCTGCTGCTCATTTGGCATTGGGTACTGTCTGTGTTAAGTCTTGAATATTCTCCTGTCACCCCTGCCTGCCTGCCTCCTTGTGACTAATTATTCAGTTTTGTTTTGAAGAAATCATGCTTTTGGAAGACTTCACATCTCCAATCATCTTTAGCTTCTTTTTGTTCGGAAGAAACTTAATGGGGAAGCAGACATTCATAGTTGTGGACTGTGACTTGCAGGTTTGGGAACTTCTTGCTCTCTTGACTGACAATTCTCCTGTCAGCATCTCTTTTAGTACCTCTTTTTCTGTATTTCTTTTGTGGGTCAGAAGCAGGTCATGCCTTGTTTTTTCTGTCATTTTAAGAAAAGTAATGCTTCCTGAATTGTTTCTACAAATCAACATGCTTGAGGTTGGCTTTTGACTTCAGGAATTGACAGAATATTGGAGGTCTTGAATATGATTTTAGAAAATACACAGCTGCAGAGGGAAAAGAGGTATTAGTATCTATAAGTCAAGGAACTGAAACATTTAGTTCCTAAACTGCAAGCGCCAAATGAAGCTTTTCCAATTGCACATGGGAAGCAAGTCCATAGTTAGCTAGGTTTCAGCAGTCTGGATACCTAAGGAGTTGCACTTTTTTCCATCTCTTGCTTATTTTTTCTCTTACAAGCACAGAAAAGTGTCAGGTCCTAAGCTCATGACTTCATTTCCCTATGTCCAGCCACTGATACACAACAGCAGCACTCACCCCTTGGGCAGTCTAAATCTAGACTACTTTTGGAATCTGCTTTCCTTTCTCGTTCATGGCACTTCTGTGAACCTCCTTGTCTGAGTCATGTTCTCAACGTCAATCCTATTTCTTTTGTGCTGGTTACAATCTCGAGTTGCCTCTTCAGTGTCATTATTACCTGCTGGGTTTTTATGCTTGCTGGTGAAACTCTAGCTAAGGTCTGAAATAATCTGAATTTCCTCATTAATGAGAAGAGTGAGTCACTTTCAGTTCAGCCCAGACTTTTCAGTTCTTTCACATATTGTGTCAAGACATAAGTCTCTGTTGTCTTTGAAGAGCAGACAAGGAATAGACTAGCATTAATTCAAATTATGGATCAGAATTTATAGTAGCTTTTTATAGTAGCAATTTATAGTTGGTTTTTTTCTTGTTTTTTTGGGCGTGTTTGTGTTGTTTTGTTGGTTTTGAATAAGACGCAGTCACTGGGTCTGTGTGATGAGGATGGGTTCCTTGGGCTCTCTCTGAGTTTGATGGAGGTCAGAGAGGCTTTCTCCTGGGCAAGGGGGCTGTGAAGTTAGAATTCTTCACACAGCATCTTTACCCTTGCTTAGCTGGTGTTGTAAAAAGATGAAATGGTCTCAGCATTGAGTCACGATGATTTTGTCTTTTGTTTCTGTAAATAATGGCATAAGAAATCAAAGAAAATTCCGTACCCCTTTAGTTTACATGGAGAATTCTGTACCAAAATTATAGATGCAGAAATTATCTACAAGTAAATGTGTACTTCATTACAAGTGTGTGGTTTTGGGCTTAGCAAGGGAAGGTAAGATATCACAAAAACTGTGTATAGGAGAGTTTGTGTATTTGGAATTGGTAAGGCATTTGACTCTCCTTGTGGCGTTTGTGGATATACTTTGAGAAGTGAACTGGGCCTTATTTCTTCATTCTGCTTCTAAAAATTTGATTTATAACCCTATCAGTTGAGGCAACTGCAGAGCAGTGGAATAGGTTTACATCTAAATTACCAGTTAACATGGAGAGAAATTGAAGTGTGCTTTCCTCTTGCAGATAGCCAGACACTTCTCATAGGCAGATAGCTTTTGTATCCTCTGACTGTGCTTTCTCCTGTATATGCTGAGCCTTTCTAAGAGCACTTACACTTGTTTGACTACCAGATTAGCTAAGAAATGATTGAAAACACATTTTAAAACTTAACCTGGGATATTATTCCTCTGTTGCTCTTCCAATGCTTTGCATGCAGACCTAGAAGATGGATTGTCCAAGATAATAGGTACTGTTATTTACTCTTCAGCTGGATTAATTATTTTCTCAGCTACCTGTCAGTTGTGCTTAGCCCTGGTAAATTAATCAAATGGCCATGTTACATAGACCCTTCTCTGCTGTCAGATAGACTTTGCTTAGCTGCTCTCTTCAGGTGCAGATGTGCAGTGAAAAGGTTGGAAAATATCTAATAAGTAAAACCCTTTTGTGGTGTTGTAAAGCGGACTTAAAGCAGTGTGTCTTACACTGTGCCATGGCAAGGGAATAGACAGGAAAAGTGGGCAGGGGAGCTGGGCAGGCTCTGGATACCCTGTGCAGGACACAGGTAGTTGTGGGCTTTTGCAGTAGCATTTGAGCAATACCAGAGCACCTTCTTCACCACACCTCTTGCTGCCTCTAATGGTTGCACTCCAGTACTAAGCAATACTTTGCTGAGAGAGAGAAAGATATGGAAGAATCCCTTATATTTTCCTAGAGTGATGGCCAGAATTAACACTTCATTTTCAGAAACAGGTTTTAATTCTTTGCTTTCTAGAGCCTTTGAATATGTAGACTATTTTACGGATTTGTTATGCTAAATATACTCAGGCAGTAATGTATGTCTTGCATTCACATGATGTGTGGACACAGATCTGTTCTTGATGCTTGCTGATTTTATGCAGTCTCTCAGATGCTCTGATTATTTTATTTAAATGGTAAAAGAGGTCCTCATTTCTCAGTTTTTCTCACTTTTGATTCACAGAAAGTATCTTAGAGCATGGACACCAGTAAGAAGTCAGAACCTCCTTTATCTGTAGAAATGGTACAGCAGAGGGCCAATCCTGACCGCAGTCCATCAGCATCCATCTATGTTCCAGAGCAAGGTGGCTACAAAGAGAAATTTGTGAATGCCGTGGAAGATAAGTACAAATGTGAAAAATGTCACCTCATCTTATGCAATCCTAAACAGACTGAATGTGGACACAGATTCTGTGAAACCTGCATGAATGCCTTGCTGAGGTATGTTGTTTGTTCTGGTAGAGCATGTCGATACCTTTAAATGTTGTGAACTACTGACATTACTGAGAACATCATTGCAGCTTTAGGAATATGTTGAACCTTCCACTGTTTCTTGCTTGAGTATTTGTTATCTGTGTGCTGGTGCAAACATTTGTGCTGTACTCTGGGTCAGGTAAGACAACTGAGCTTTCCATCAATATTGTTGGAACAGTTGTTAAGGTGGTGTAGTCCTGTGTAGCAATGTGTTAGGTAAGAATTTCATTCCCTGTGGAGGCCAAATGGAGTAGCTGTTTTGCAAGACTTCTAACTTGAGTAATGTGGTGTCATATACACACAGTAAATTGCTGTGTGAGGAAGTGAGCTTGTACACATTCCTTGGGGTGGTGATACCTAACCTGGCTGTGGACCCAGCCTCAGAGATGGGTGCTGGGACACTTGGATAAATGTGACTGCTTGTGGAGCAGTTTCCCTGTAGCCCTTGCAGCTGTTTGTTATGGGACTTGTGTGTCCTGTGGATTGCAGGAGGATCAGAAAGGCTGGCATCTCTATTACTGAGGTGTTTGAGTGAAGAGGGTGAGTGAATCATATAGATGTATAATGAATGCTGAGAGGTGCAATCTTTCCCAGTCTAGATAAGAATAAAAGTGCAGTCATTATCTTGGTTTTAAGAGGTACCTGTGCATCAGTAGGTTTCTTTGCCTCTCAACTTCAGTGCATTTCTGCTGGTTGTATTCAGTAATGTGATTGCAAAACTTTGTGTAATGTTTGGAGACCATTTCAGCATACTTCTCCTGGGGTGCATAAGCAGCAAATAGGTTCATTTACTACTGGAAAAGCAGAAATACAGAAGATGCTTGGCTTGATGAATATTGCATGCTGGGCTACTATCAGAGAGAGCATTTGACTTTGGAAGCCTTGGTGATCTGTTTACTTTCTGTGACCACTGACTCTAAATGTTGGTTTATATGTCACTTGGAAATATTGTAATCTGATATCTAATACTTTGATATCTAAGCCAAGACTACATGCAGCATGGCAAAGGAGTATGGAAGTTATTACAATACTCAATCTCTTAATAAAGACCAATCTCTGTACTGGGCAAACACAAGGGTCCATAGCTCACTAACACTCTCCTGCAGGTTTTGTGCCTACAGCATTTCAAATTTTAAACAACAACAAAAAATCCCACCAATTTTTATTTTGATATACAGTGTCGAGTGAGGTGTGGCATTTAATAAATGCAGTAATTTCTTATTCAGTACTTGTTTTTGGACAACTCTTATGTGGTTAATAACAGTGACTGCAAAAAACCAAATACCTGCCAGGCTTGGATGTGCACAGGTGGACAGAGCAGATCCTTGACAATCTAAGCAGTAACAATTTTGGCATTTCTAGGGTCTGGGCAATTTTCCTTTCCTGCTGTGAGACATGCACATGTGCTTATTACAGTGTAGCTAGAGTATGTGTAATTTTATCTTCCTGTCTTTATCTTCAGTCTGTTACTGAAAAGGACATGTGCTTAAGGCCTTTGAGTTATTTCACTATAAATGCTTGTTGAAAATAAATCTTTAATTAAAATAAAATTTACATCTTCCCCCCCCCCGCTTTTTTAAAAAATTAAATAAAAAGCATGCCATAAAATTGAAAATAAAATAGGTTTATGTTGGTCCTGTATTTGGCACAAAATTTTTTCATTCAGTGTTCATATGCTGCTGCATACATAAACACACTAATTATATGCTAGCAACTTCTGTTCCAGGGTTGTTTGAGGACAGGAATTGGGAGTTAGTAGAGATAAAGCAGTAAAGATGTCTGCTCAGTATGCAAGAGTAGTTTGAAACAGCAAGTTGGATGCTTGAGTGAATTCAGTAAGAGCAAGGAAAGCATGACATTGTATTAAACACTATATGCCCTGATGTAGTTCAGATTCCTTTTTTTTTTCCTGACTTATGAAAAGCATTACAGATACTGAAGCTTCAAGGTACTTAAGATGCTCAGAAATATGGTGAGACACAGAATGGTTGAAGAGGAGAAACCAGCAAGATGATTTGAAATAACCATACAGATTATATAACATAATTGAACTTTTTCAGCCTTTTACATTGATTTGCACTGCTGCTAGCAGCCACAGCTTAGGTAGCCTGTCAGGGAGGTGCTTTATGAAAGAATTCATGCAGCTTTTACCTGGTGCTTTTTGTCTCAGTGCTTTACAAGGGAGATAATTTTGACTGTTCCCATTTTATGTGGGGAAAAACAGCTAAAAAGGAACGAAGCAGCCTGGTCTGGTGGAAGGTGTTCCTCTCCATGGCAGGGGAATGGAACCAGATGAGCTTTGCTCTCTTCCAGCCCAATCCATTCTATGATTCTGAGGGGTTTGCACTACAACACTTGGCAGGTCTGAGCCAGAAACGGCTCTAGAAACTCAGGTTTTCTGCACTCCAATTTCTCTTCACATTCTGCCCTGCTTCTGATTCTGCCTGTTGTCCAAGAGGTCACAAGTTTGGTGATTAGTTCACCCAGACAGATAAAAGGCAGTAGTTCAGATAAAGGAGGCAGCAAGCATCTGTAACAGTTGCTAAAACCAGAACAGACTTGAAGGAGATGGATATAAATACTTTTTTAATGCATAACTGACTGTCAGAGAAAGTACATTTTCATTAGGTGTAGTTTGAAAAGCAATAATTGAAGAGACAATATTTTGCCTGTTTGCACAGATGAAGTGACAACAGTCTTGGATCAGGTGCAGACTGAAAAATAGGGAATGAATTTTGCCAGCTTGAAAGCCACTGTGCAGTTGTCTGGAGACATTGTGGTGGTCTTACTTCTTTGGGAATGCCAAATATTTCACACTGAAAACTCAAATGTTCAAATTTATTGAAATAATGTTGTATTTTCTCCTTGTAATGAACTATATTCATTTTTAGTGGTTTTAGAATATACTGAATAATCAAAACTAAGTGCCTGATGAGCTAAAATAGTTTTTTATTTTCCAGGTCTTCTAGTCCAAAATGTACAGCGTGTCAAGAAAGCATAGTAAAAGATAAGGTATTGTTAAAATTGTTTCTTATTCAAGAGTATTCAACTGTGTGGAGTGCACAAGTTGTGTTGCTGTTATGTGGTAATTATTTCATAAGCCTAATAAGCTGCTTAAAAAGGTAGGTTTGTCGAAAAACCTAAACCATGCATTTTATAGGTGGCTCATTTTTCCTGTTAACCTCATGGTAGAAAACATGTCAGCTTCATTCCAAAAAGCTCAGACAGGTGTCACACCTCGTATTCATAGTTGGGAGCTGCAGCAACACACTGCAGTTGTCCTCCCATCGACAAGAGGATGATAAGAAATACTCCATCTCCTGTAGATGCAGGGATGTCACAGGTCTGGGTGAACACTGATTTGGCTCTAGAGCAGTGGCTGCTGTTTCACTCATCTCTTTTATAGTGTGGTATTCAGTGAATCCCACTGGGATTAGGACAGTGGGAAGTTACAGTAATGATAATGGAATCATCATTATCAACATGTATGAGTTATTTCAGTGATACCCTCTTCACTGTTTTTCACATCAGAACTTTTTGCTGCCTTTGAAACACTGAAGGTAGAAAAACTTCTTGGCTTAGTACATGGTTTGTGTGGTTTTACATAATTTGTGCTTGTAGTCTTTCTTGCCTAAATGAGTATTTGTGTTTGAAACCATTTTCAAGAAAAGGCTGATGGATACTTTAATCTTTCCTTGTTTTAATCCAGAATAGTTCTCTGAACAGTGCTCAGCATAATTTGTTTTTGACATGGATGGACTCTTCACAAGCTCAGACCAATAGTCAGGATGCCTAATTTATTTGTTCTTTCAACTCTGACTTTCTGGCTCTCAAGATACATAAATATGTACATTTATTATGAAACTTCAAGTATCTTTACAACAGGACAAGAAGGCAAATGTATATGAATACCTGTTAGACTAACTGTGCAAATCAGTGTTTTTCATGAAACTGGAAACCTCTCTTCCCACAGAGTGCTGAAGTCCTAAATCACAGAAATGATTCTGGATAGTCTTTGCCAAACTTTAAAAGTCATCTTACCTTGTCTTCAGTCAGCAAAACTGCATACTAACCCTGTGAATTAACTTTGGAAAAGATACTGCAGCATAGCCAATTGATTATTTAAATGAGACTTGTTGATTCATTAAACTTCCCACACGCTTCTGAAAAGTAAATAGAAATCAGTGACCTGTGTCAGATGAGATCAGATGAGAGAGATTGCAGATTGTTCCCCTCTGATACTGGGGATAGATTCATAGTCACTGTGGGCAGGTGGATCATAATTCTTGGTTAAGTGTTAGCATGCAGAACCATTCTATAATTACAGGAGTGCTGCGGTGTACTCAGTATCACAGGAGTCTGTTTATCAGAGAAGCAGTCACAGGTTGGGCTTGGTTCTTAAGGTATTTCTTAGTGGCAGTTAAAGCAGTTGAAAAACAATTAGAAGTTTATCTCTTTGGTTTTGGGCTTTAAAATAGCAGGAATGGTTTTCAATTCTTGTCTCTCTCCAGTTCCTGCCCTTCATAATTTGGCTCCTTGAGAGTTCAGCTGTGTTGTCTCTTATTCTCTTATGGGATATCTCCCATAAAAGGTGTAGAATTCAAACCCTAGCCTCTCTATTTGTAACTTCTTCCCGTTCTCTTGTGGAGAAAAAAAAATGCTAAAAGTGCTTATAGACATTAAAACAGAGAGATAGTTAAAGTCTGCTTATTTGTGAAATAAAAAAACCTCCTTCCATCCAAAACCTTAAAAAATATTTGTAATTATGTGTTGCCACTGAAATGGAAGTAGGTATTCCAGCCAACCAATCTAGTAATCCAGCATCTATGAAACACTTCCCCTCCAAACTACTGTGCTTTGAGTCTCTTTTGTCTTATGGGATTGTGCCTAATTCAGCAGTTCCCCAAACAATGGAGAGTTCTAGCTTGTGCAGGCCTAATATTGACAAGCAAATAGCAGCAAATTTGGTCCTTTCTTGTACCTTTCCCATTACTGTATTTATTGTAAAACTGGAACAGTAGTAGAGGATCTGTCCAAATACACTTTCATTGAGCTGCTTCACAGTGGAGGGGCCTCAGTGCTGTGCACATTATAGAAAAATAGAGTAGCAGGATTTTATTTCTGGCACATAAAGCAAGAATTGAATGACACTGCTGTAGCTGCATTGCATGGCTTCTACTTTATTTGAACTTGCATATCCTTGAGTGGTTTTCAGTTTCTAAAATAAAGTGATATTTTGATTTTTCAGGTATTTAAAGATAATTGTTGCAGGAGAGAACTACTTGCCCTTCAAATATACTGCAGAAATGAAAACAAGGGCTGTAAGGAACAGCTATCTTTGGGTCAATTACTGGTAAGCTAACCTAAAAGTTGCAAGCTTTCTTTTGAGTTAAAGAATGAGGAAAGCTTCTTACAAATTAAAATCACAGTCAGTTTCTTAACTTGCTCTCACTGGTGGCTAATGTGATTTATAACTGTTAAAATAGATATAAATTGTTTTGATGCTCAGCATTTTTATGAACTGTAAGGAATTGTAAAAAAAATTATGTGATTGTCTGGCACTAAAGCTTGGAAATATAAATGGATGAACCAAATGAGAACTGGAAGGAAAAATAAAATAGTGAAGAATCTTAATGTGTACTTGACAAATGTGAAAAATTTGATTTCTGTTTTGTTGTGTTTTTATTTATCTTAATCCCCTCACGTGGTGTTTATGCATGAAATGGAACCTTTGGGTTCTCCAGAGCTGTGTAAAATAACCTCTAGCTGTTTTGGTGAAGGCATGAGATAAGCAGTAATTCAGCAGCTGTATGAAATGGCTGCACAGCACTTTGCAGTGAGATGTGTAGACTGTTGCTTTGAGTGAGCAAGCTCACGTACCTAAACAAATTAAAGCAGCATCTATGTGTATGTGGAATAATATACCTTTAAAAACAGTGCTTACCTTTTCTTTAAATAGCCTGTGGAGAATTTTGTGCTGTGTTAGAATGCTCTCAGTGTAGAAGTAGCTCATGTACATCTGTAATACAGTGAAATCAGCTGTCCAGGTAAAGGGACTGTACGGTCAGAAGTGTATTCCTGAGTAGATCTGTCGGTGTTTGCTCTTGTGTGATGCAGTTCACAAAATAACTCTCGTTACTTTGGTTCTGAAGTTATTTAATGTTGGATGTCTTCAAAGGATGGAAGACATGCATAAAACTTAATTGGATTGACTGTTTATTTAATTTTTTAATCTTTTAGATGCATTTGAGAACTGATTGTCAGTTTGAAGAACTCCCATGTCCTCGTGCTGATTGCAAAGAAAAAATACTGAGAAAAGATCTGCCAGACCATGTAGAGAAGACCTGTAAATACCGGGAGACAACCTGTAAATACTGTAAAAGCCAAGTCCCAATGATTATGTTGCAGGTGCAGTATTTACTTTTGTATATACATCAAGATTCCCCACATTAATGTAGAATAACACCAACTCTTCTTGTCTTTCTCTGTAACTGCCAAAAGAGCTTTTGTCTCTCAGCCAGAATTAATAGCTCAAAAAAGAAAAAAGGCTGACTTTCAAAACATGTCTTTTTCCTGCAAAAAAAAAAAAAAAAGTAAAAGCATTGAATAGGAAATATTTCCTTTATTCTGGTGTTCAGGTACTGCGTTTTAAAAAGTTCAGATCCACTGCCTGCTCTTGACACTGAAGTTAATTTTGCTATGCTTTTTAGATTTTTTTCCAATTTAGATAATAAATGCAACCACCACAATAGCAATCAAATATTGTTCAAGAAAAGCATAAGCATTGCAATTGACTGGAAAAATAGCATCTTCTGCATAATCCTTCTTGGGTACTGTGTGATCTCTCCTGGGAGGAAGGGAAGAATGTAAAACCAATTGTGTCTTAGGAGAGGAAGACTGTAAAAGCAAATTATACCTTGCCATAGCCAGCAATACATGACAGGCCTAAGATGAGTTACTGCTGTTCTTGGCATCAGAGAAGCTTCTGATCAAGTCTGATAGGCAGCATATTGAGGGTTAGAATTACAGAGGAGACGTTGAGAAAGTCATGCTTACTTTACACATAAAATTTTAACTTAACTGTTTCACACTGAAAGATATTATGCTGAATCTATCTTGGTATGATTTTAACATTTTTTAAACAAATTCTGTCTACAAATTTTCTTGTAGTTTGATGGTCTTGGATCTCACACCTTCTTGCTATAGTAAGACTGGTGAAAATTTTTTTCTCATTTGTGTTCTTGTGTGTTGTTTGTTAGGTGAAGTATGACAACAATGAGAAGTGTTTTTTACTTGGAGATGTTACAAAAAGGCATCTGTAGAAACTTGTCAAGTTCTGGTTTAGATTTGACTCTCAGTTATTTGAGTGCACACTTGCAGGGGCTGGTAGTTCAATAACTGTGCCTTGCCCAGAATAAGGTGGCTGAGATATGAAAATAAACAGAAAAAAATAAGTCTGCCCTTCATTTATTCTTGTACATTCTGATACAGAGGTGAAAGTGTATTTAGGTAGATTATGGATGATGTTCTCCCAGAATTATCATTAGGCTGGAGAGTGGCAGAAGGCAAAAAGTGATACTAAAAAATGTGTGGTGTCTTAACAGACAGAATCAGTGAATTTTAAGTACGTTCTGCAGACTGGATTGGCTGATATTTTTGGGGCTTTTTCCTAGATTTTTAAAAGTTCAGTGGTTCTAGAAATGCAGATGAGCCTCTTTGTTGTGGCCTGATTAAAATGTTACTTTGCTATACTTCAGTAATGAGAATGAGAAGATTAATGACACGGTATTTTTGAATCTTAGAATCACAGAATGGTGTGGCTTGGAAGGGTCCTTAAAGATCGTTCTTGTTCCAACCCTTCTGCTGTGGGCAGGGACACCTTCCACTTGACCAGGTTGCTCAAAAGCATATCCAACATGGCCTTGAATTCTTGCAGGGATTAAACATTCACAATTTCTCTGGAAAATCTCTTCCAGTGCCTTGCCACCCTCACAGTCTAGAACTTCCTAATATCTAATTTAAACCTGCTCTCTATCAGCTTAAAGCCCTTCTTCTCCCCTGTCCCATCTCCACATGCCCATGTAAAAAGTCCCTCTCTGGCTTTCTGTAGGCCCCTTTAGGTACTGTAAGGCTTCTTTTGACTTCTCATTTGAATTTTGTCACCCCGTTGACAAAACTGTGTTTTTAGAGGTGAACTTGAGTTCATCTCTGGGTTCTGTAGCCTAGAATTTTCTCTAATGTAATAATGACTGAAGCTGGCCTCAGTGACTTGAACTGAAAATGGAGATAGGGGGAGCAGACTGAGAAAAAAGGTATGCAAATGGAAACAAAAAATTTTACTGGAGAACATGTGGTTCATGTCTTCATAGAATCCCGTGACCCGTGGGGTAGGAAATCCCCGTTGTTGGAGGCAGACTCCAACAAGTTAACAATGTCAGTAGAATGCTTTTTAAGATTGCATTTATCTTGCCTGCATGCTCACTCGGTGACTTAGCCTCTTAATGTATTTTGTTCAAACCATCTAAAAATTTAAGGTTTCTTTTTGTCAAAAACTTATCTTTTCTATCCTCTACATCCTGACAGATAAAGATGGTGCGTTGTTAAAATGGAAATTAGTAGTCTGAAATGCCTCTGGATTTTTCTGTGTATAGTCCACAAAGCTACTTGGAAGTGCTTGTCCTGTAAAGTTGCTACTTAGCAGTAGTGTGACATGGATGTGGAAGGACAGCACTGCTTCTTGCCTGGGCTCCTTCCTGAAACCCTGGCCATAAACCAGACCCTGCCAGGGCAACCTGGGCTCTGCCCAGTGCTCTGAAATACAGCTGAGGACAGCACTGAGGAAGACCCCAGACATTGTTCCTTGCTCCCTGTCACTTCTCTGGAGCCAGACATGTTCCTAATGTGGCACTGGCTTTTCTGGGAGCTCTGTTAATATCCTGCCCTGCCCTCATCTGGGCTGGGAGCCCTGCATGGGGCATCACCTGTGGTTTGTACTGGATTTAGTGTTTGGCTTTATGTGCTCAACTGGGTGAGTTTAGACTTGGAGGGAGAGAGTTCTGCCACTGGGGTTACTCTGGTATATCCTGAAGTCGCTGGAAAGGCTTGCCTTGGCTTCAGTGGGTGGACACTGGTATGTGGAGCAAGGAGGAAAACAGGAGAGAAGTTGCCTGTTCCCTTTTTATCATGAACCAAGACTCAGTGTCACGGCCTTTGTCAGATGGTTTGGGTAGGTTAGGGAACAGGGTTAGGGAATTAAATTAGGGAATGAACATTAGAAGGAAGTGTTACTTTTCCAGGTTTGTAGTTGATAAATAACTGAGGAAGTGTGTGGGGCATGAGGCTCCTATATCACATGGTTGTGTGTGATTCTCCCTTCGGCATGGCTCCAGATGTGTTCAGAATGAGAGGCCCAGGTCCAGCTCCTGACTCTGAGCAGGAGTGGTGCTTTGGGACTCTGCTTGTCAGGAGAGCATCACTGCCACCCTGGCAGGCTGTTCTGAGCAGGGGCACTGCTCCTGGCTGGGGATGGACTGAAGATGGCTCAGTTGCTGTCCCAGCCCTCTGGCTAAGGAGCAGCTGAGGGTTCCCTGGTTCCTGTCACTGGGACTGTGCCACATCCCAAGTGAACGAGTGTGACTGGGGAGTGTGCAGGGTTAGATGGGTCAGGACAGCGTCTCACGGCCTGCTTTAAAAGGAGGAGATACACAGTTTCAGAGAGTGGCAGATTTATGCCAGAATTTTGATCAATGCCTTTCACATCTTAGAGATCAGATGTCCTTTACATCTCGGTTTTGTTTCAAAAAATAGACCTGGTTACTGGGCAAAAAGAGCATGCTATTTGCTCTTCCCTTTCTAACAGGCTTATGAATCTAGAGCTTTGCTTTTCTTAAGTACCAGAAATGAAGCAGTGTGTTTCAAGTTGAATGGGACGTGTCACTTGACAAGAAACAGATTTTTCATTTCGTTGAGAAAACTGAGAGGAAATGTAAATTCTGTTATCTTGGGCCTGACTTCTTCCCTCACTGGGGTGCTAGGGTTTGACAGCTATGCTGAGATACCTGTCATCTGAGTTCAAATTAAAATCCCTGCCCAGCATTGTATGTGTAACAGTGAGTCTTAGTATCAGATGCTTGGGAATCAAAATTAGAAAAGAATTGGAAGGGAATATCCGTACATAGGAAAGTGAATGTCTGAGGGTGGGCAGTGTGCATTTCTGCCGGACTTTTCCATGCACTATATACCCTTACTAGAAGGGACATCTACACTGCCTTCTCTTGAAGATGCCCAATTTTGTGAGTGACTGTTGGGGATTAAAACTTGACTTTGACTACTGTTTCATTGTTCAAAGTAAATCCAATAAAATGGTAAGCAAATAGATTTGCTTTGCATGGGAAAACACAAGGAAACCCTTGGTTTTGCTTCAGAATACCAGCACCTGCATCAAAGTATAAACTGATGTTTGAGGAATTGCAGTTCTGTAACTGAAATCTGAAATAACATGGAAAAAAATCTTGTGGGATTTTTAATTGTTGTAGGATGCTTTTCTTTGCAGGTAAGTCCTCTCTTAATTAAAGAGTAAGATCTGATTTGTGGTTTGTTTGCTTTTTTCCTCTGTAGAAACATGAAGATACAGACTGCCCATGTGTCATGGTTTCATGTCCTCATAAATGTAGTGTTAAAACACTCATGAGGAGCGAGGTAAGAAGTCATGCCCAGTGTTGTGCTGAAAAATTAAATAATGTCTGTAGTAAGATCTCGCAAGAATTTTGCCAGAAGCCATTTCCTTGTTAAAATGTGAGATCTAAGGAAAAGCTTTTTCTACCACACAGTTAAGTGTGATAACACTCAAATAAGTTTAATGATTTCTTGAAAAACTATTTAAAAATAAACAATTTCTTAATTTTGAGTCATTATTACACTTGGCTTGTCCAAGATTAGCGCATGTCCTTCCTGCTTTTGTTTTTACTAGCTCTCCCCCTGCCCTTCCCTCGTTTCAGCACCACAGAGCAGCATCTTGGGGTAGTTAGCTTATATTAAAAGAGAAATACAAAATTAAAATTCAGTGCACATTGACAAGAGTTATTAAAGACTACAAAAATCATATAGATGTGTAATTTCAAGGAAAAATTTAAAATTAAATCTATTACATTTTTTGTGAAAAATAGTAACTGATACTTAGAGAAATGGTGTAAGGTTAAGTTAAGGTTGAGTACAATATTCCATCAGTAGATGCAACAATGCATGAAAGTTATTTCTAATGTATAGAAGTTTCCAGTAATATGTAGATGAAAAAAAATTAAAGCGTGGCTTTGAAGAGATCCATGTTCTTGTACATGAAAAGATAAAAGTATCATCTGTCAAAATTGAGGTGCTTAATTTTCCCCTAAAAATAGAACTTGCCAGGGATAGAGAAGAACTTACTGAAGTCTTCATCACTCAGTAAGCCTCTTTTAAGGAAAGTGAAGTTTCTGATCTGAGGATGAGCTTTTCTCTTTCCTCTGCTACTTACTTCCCAAGCTGGATTAGTACCATTTTTCAGTTGCATTTGTAATTTATTAATTGTGGCAGAGTGCAGAAGGCACATAAGACTCCTGCCAAAGTTTAATGCAGTCTTTCCGTCAAGATAATGAAATACAAAATATATGATAGATACTGTATTTATTAAGAGAAATTGAGCTGTTAAGAAAAGAGAAAATACATATACTGGCCAACTCTACCAGTGCTTACTGCCAAGATTAGATCCTGGTTCTGGAGCACTTTGGCTTAGTCTTAAACCCTGACTTCAGCAGTTACTTTCAAAAGAGGTGTGTCTGAGTGCTTGTAAGAACTGCACCATTAAAGGCTGGGTTGTTACACACAGAGTGGGGTTTGAAACCATGGGTAGAAACAGAACTTTAAACAGCCCTTTGCCCTGCATCATCTGTTGCTGTATGTTGCTTAATTTTTTTTTCTAATACTGTGAAAATGTATGTATTTCTTGGTTGCATGATTAGGGACAAGAAGTCTAATGCAGAAAATGGGAAAATGCCTGCCTAACAGTTTGAGAAAATTCTGTAGTGTACAAGTGGATATCTTACTGTAGAATAAAAGGCAATTTTCATGTTTAATTCATAACTCGTTGGCAGACTTCTGGTTTTGAAAAGTTGAAAAACGTGGTGTTCTTGTAAAACCTGTTAAACCACATGTCCCTTTCTTCTTATTTTTTTCTCCACTCCATGTCTTCTGAAATGATACTGTGAATTTCTTCAGGTAGTGTTTAGGACACGATAGCTGTGAATCAGAGATGAGTGACTGATGGCATCTCCGTATGAGATTTTAAAGTCTCTCTTGTCTGTTCCAGAGCTGCACATTCAAAGCAGTGTTCATTCACCACTTCTTTCCAGGGAGGTGGATGAGCTCAGTCATGTGGGGCTTAAGGTGTGGGAATTTCAAATGAGATTCTGCAGCCCAAAAATGGTGCCAGCTGAGAAGCCAGGCTCTGGCTCCTGTCTGCTTTGTGGGAAATACAAACTGCAGACTCTGTTTTTGAAAAGAGAGTCTTTGTTAGGCTGTCCTTTCTAAAAATGTCTCTCTGCTCCAACTTTTAGGCAGTTTGCATCCAGCTGCTGCCATCTGTGCTGCTGCTGTCCATATAAATATATATATATATGTATATGCTTTTGTGAATTGGTTTACTTTTAAATGAAAAGTGGTCTGTGCTTGTAATTATCCAAGATATTGGACTAAATCTCAATCTGAAAAATGCAGGCATTTTACTAATCATTTTTAATCCTGTGTACTGCATTTTTTTAAAGTTACTGAACTGTACCTATTCTAAAACTCTTTGTCTGTTTCATGCAGTACTTGTTTAGTCTTTTTTGTGTAATTTAACTGTTAAATTTAGGCACGGAGAATTGCATGTTATGTTTTGAAAAGTTGGTTCCTTGTGAAATTAGGATTAGAACAAAATGTATTTTATTACAGTGAAACTGATCTTAAGACTTGCTCAGAGCACCAGTAAAAAAAAATAAATCACTTTTTGAGAAAAGATTAGCCATTCACTAAAGTCAAATGAAATCAAATAATTTTGGAGTACATTCTTTCTGTTTGTTTCGTTTTTTTTAAATTGGGTTGCCTATTGAAATAGTCTTTGGTAGAAGTTTCACTGTATACTAAATGTATCACACTGTATACTGTATTGGCATGTGCGTGTGGTTTACATATGTGTATAAACAGAATTAGCACTTGAGATCAGACTGGAGAAAATATACACATGTGTGCTGTATGTTCTGCAAATGGCACACAATACAAACCTGATAACCTCTGCCCTTTATGTTATCATGCAAAGGTCTTTTTGCCAAAACTCACGTTTTTTTCCTATTGCAGTTGAATGCACATTTGTCAGAATGTATTAATGCCCCAAGTACCTGTAGTTTTAAGCGTTATGGCTGCACTTTTCAGGTCAGTATATAACAATTATACTTCCCAATTGATCAAAGTCTGCAAATAGAAGCTAATTCATTGACATGAAAGTTCTGGACTTCTCTAGTTTCAGTTAAGAAAATCATCCAGTTGCACCAAGTGATTATACAGGAGATGTTTGCTTTTGCATTTTAAAAATAAACAACATGAAAAGCCCATACATTCCTGTAATGGTTTGGGAGTTCAGTTGTTAGGTGTGTCTCGTTGAAATAGGAATATGACACATTTGAAAAACTAAGGATAAGAGGAAAGTCTCTTTAATTCTTGGGAAAATAGACTAGTTAACTTCAGTTGTTTCTATGAAAGCATTTTCTTGAACTAAGTATGTTTATATTTTCTCTCATTTGTGTGTTTTAATATTTTTAATTGAGGTTGCACATAGGTTAGCACACTTAAAACATGTATTTTTATGTGCATTAATATATCTGTGTGCACATAGGTATATAATCAAAGCATGAAATTTATTTTCTTAAAAAAGGTTTAGATTTTAATCCTGGCAATCCCTGCAATATTAAAAGAAATGAACTCAGACCTCAAAGTTTAGTTTCAGTAGTATTATTCAAGTTTCTTCCAATATTCTGCTTCCCTTACCATAAATCCTGGAGAATTTGGATGCTTATGTAATGAAAATATTAGTCAGGACATTTCAGAAACCACTGGGAGGAAACAATGGCATTTATCTGATAGAATGATTAACTTGGTAGCCCATGGCTATTTAAAGAGACAAGGACTCACAAAGGAGCAACACTTCTCAATAGATGATGTCCTGCAGGTATTTCCAGGTTCTTAAATAATGAGCATTCATCTTTTTAAGTGTTAACAGTAATGCTCTTAGTGGTAGAACTGATCAATGCTGTAACCCTGCCCACTGTTATGTCGTATGTATTGCCATTCATTTTATGTATTTATATGTGTGCATATATGTACATATATCCACATATATATTTTTAGTATCTTATATAGAGTACATACCTTGAGGATCATTGAAACCCTTTCAGTTGCTTTGCAGCACTCTATACCATCAAAGGCAACATACTCTGCATTGCAAAGCACTTACTGAAGTAGGCATAATGCAACACGATACAAAAGAAGTGATGTGGTCTGCATCTTATGTACTCTGTATATAATCTATGTGTGTTCTGTAAACTCTTTATATAGTGGTTATTTGTAACAGCACTTATAGGTTGTGCAGAGGCAGCAGATCTGAATATCCCAGAACAATCATGGTAACATCTTAAACATGACAGAACAGGCATTGTAATAACTCTCAGTGTAGTTTATAAAGCTGGCAGTTTCCAGTGATGATAAACTTATCCTTAATATTTGTCTTTAATATTCAGCTGAAGGAAAATGTAGTGCTTATGAAGCTGTTCATGTAATAGAACAGAAGTTTTAAATTACAGTCAGTGGAATTAGAAGTTTCAGATTTTATATGACTCAAGGGTTTTATTGTGCTTTGTTTAATTCTAGGCTACACAAAGGACTCTAAAATATAATTCATTTCGTAAATCTTGTTCATCTTTACTGTTTCTGAGTTATCAAGCACACTGGATGGAGATATGTAGCAGTTGTATAAAACACTTGCTATATTAAATGTATTCCTGATTTTTGTAAGTTCCCCAGTAGATTTCCCTCCTCTCTACAGTTCTGCAACAAGCACCTGTGAACCAAAATATGTAGTGTTGGTTCGATGTCTTTAAATACTCTTTCTTTGTAGGTTTAAAAGAAGTGGAATTGGCTAAAATGTATAAATTCTTTGTTGTCACAGGGAACAAACCAACAAATTAAAGCACATGAAGCCAGCTCAGCAGTGCAGCATGTTAACTTATTGAAAGAGTGGAGCAATGCTCTAGAAAATAAGGTATATCTTCTACTCACTTCTAATTTTCATTGACTTCTTTAAATTATATAAAAGTACTGGAAGGAACGCTTTTTTCCTGTTTCACAGCTGTTCAACATTACAGCTAAAGCACTAGTAGGCTTCAAAAGCTATCAGGCCATTTAGCAGCTCTTTGTGCCTTTGTTATGTAATAAAATGCTGTGAGAAACTTGGCTTCGTAACTCCATGGACAATTTTCCTCATTGATAACTAAAAAACACTTTCTTCACATAAATAAACAGTCCAGTATTATATTTCCTCTCTGAGCTGCCTTCTTACAGAACAGAGAGTTCAGAAAGCCATGGCAACACTATGAGCTGTATCTTTACCACCTCATCATTTTTCCTGACATAACTTCAGAAGTGTGTGATGAACTGGTTATGTATTTTATTTCTTTTTGTTCTTGCTCTCCAAACTTAAAGACCTGCACAGTTTAATTAAATTAAATGTGCTGTAACTCATGGGCATGATGATGTCTGCTTCAGTGCTAGACCAGCATGCAGTTCATGTTGCAGTGTTTCCTTGGGACTCCAGGTTTTTAAGTTTTTGGGATTTGGGAGATGCTGGGAGTTGCATCAGCTATGATCTTGTGAATAAGCTTGAATGACTTTACCATGTCTTCTGTGAATAAAATCCAGGGCTTTGATTTAAAAAATACAAAACTTCAGAACAAATTACTGTTTTCTTATATCCTTTTGAAAAAGTTTTACATAGACATCAGACTGATGTTTCTGTGTTTTTAAGGGGAAGAAGATCCCATAATTTCCAAAGTGTTCTACAAATGCAGGCACAAGAGTCAGGAGCCCCTTCAGACTTTTCTCAAATGAGTTCACAAGTAGCAATTCCAGTGTAAACTCAGTGTCACTTTGGATGTGATTTCTGTCATCTCAGAGCTTGAAAGATCACAAGCTAGAGTTTAGCAAACTGTCTAGAAAGCACTTTCCTGTCTTGGCCTACAGACTTGGGTCTCCAACAAGGTCATGCAGCTGCAGGAAGTGTCGTTTTAAAGCAGACATTAACTGGAACAGCGTAATATGTCTTGTGCCCCCAGCAGATTTATTCCTGAACTCATTGGTTTTGAGCTTGAAGCCTCTTCAGCAAGCCATTGACCCTAGGTGAGGTCTAATACAGGGTTTTTAGATAGAATTTTTTTACATGTGTAGGTAGGTCTTAGTTTGACGATCCATAACATTACTTAAGTTTGCTTTTGCATGTGAAACTTTGTCAGTGGAGAAACTTTACATTTTTCAGTTTTGAGAGATACAGATTCATATCCTTAGTTCGTTTTTCATTAGTCTGATTAAAACTACACAATTTATTTCACATCACAGGAAAAAACCCACGTTCCCTGTAACTTGCAGAATAGATCATGTTCTGCCTTTTGTCAGTGTCCTGAGAGGTGCTTTGTCATTTAAAAAATGCCCAGCAGTTCTATATTTGTCTCTTACAGACCTTAGAGACTATACACTTTACTACTGTTTTATGTTTGACTTTCGTTTCAATTTTCATTTAGGACATAACTGCTTATCATCGTATGTCCATTTTTTTTTCTTTTACTTCCTGCTTTGTAGACTTCTTCCTATTCATAATAAAGAGTTGAATCACTGGAAATCCCAAGCCAGAGCCAAGTTACCAGAATAGCTAACCACTTGTCATATGTCAGTGACTTTATTCTAGGGATGGGTTACAAAATGATTTGTAACTTCATTGCTGTGCCCTTCTTTGAGGAAAAAATTAATGAATGCACTGAAGAACAACAGTGCAAAGTCAACTTGGCTGATGGGTATCTCAGAAATCTTAGCCCTGCTGAAGTCAGTGGAAGTCTTCTTAGTTTGTATAGTGTCAAGATTTCATTTGGGATTCTCTCTGTGGTACATCTGCAGGGGAAAGGAGAAGTTGTCTTGTCCCAGTCACCACATTCTTTAACAGTGCATGTGGAGTGGGCAAACTGGAAATCTTCAGAGCTGCAAAGCTTGTGCTAAGTTAGGAGTTTGGTGTTGGTGGCAAAGAGTAGTAAGAGAAGGTCAGATGTAAAATCTTGAATCAGAACTTTGTGGGGGGAATTAAAATTCAGTGCTTTTTTCCCCTCTGTGATGGTGTTCTGCAGACTGAACTCCCACAGTTTTGTAATGTTGGAAATAATCAGTTAAACATAATTTTGTGGCTTCATCACATTCTTACAGAAAACTGGTATCAACTGTTTTTTTCTTTTTAATATGAGACTTAAATATGGGACCTGTTTGAATACAGTTTCTTGTGGCATAACGTTTTTTCCATTCTTTTTTAGTAAGCAACAATAAACAGCAGTTTAATTTGCAAAATTGCTGAATAAGAGCATGCTTTTTCCTAGGAATATTTCAAATATGCCAACTAAGTAAAGGAAGATTATGTAATTTGTAATTAGATGCTGTGTTTCCTTTACCCTTTTTTACACTAAAGTTCCAAAGACTTATGCTGAAACTATAGTTGGGAAACTATTTAGTGTTAATTTATTTTTTTTTTTAATTCACAAATCACAGCCAAACTACAGTTGCTGACCTTGCAATGACAGTTCTGTATGATTAAGGACTGCAGGACACAATTCTACTTTTCTTGTATTCTGTAAAGCTACGTGGAAAATCTCAGTACAAGACAGGCCCACATTTTATAACTTACATAAAAATGGAAATGCAATGCTTAGTGACCCAGAGCATAACTGCCTTGTGATTGGGAGGCCTGGGGAGGAAACAGTGAGAAAAGGGAAATGCAGAGATCACAATTAAATAAATAACTCTGATTCATTAAGGAAATGGAGGATGCAAACAAAATGAAGCTTCCACCCAGCAAATCTTAAATATCTGGGAGGCAGAGGTACTGGTTTAAATTTAAGCTTGTTCTTGAAAATTTTTTCTAGTACCTAGGCATGCATTCCGTCGGCCTCAATATTGCTTCTCTCTCTGCACTGACAAACTTGGCTTTTTCTCATTTCTGTTGAGTTTCTTTTGCCAGTTTTTCCATGTATAAAGTGCAGAACCAACCTATGTGTGTATATGCACACATACTGTACTGTACCATATTGAAAAGTAGATACCCACACATACATTATTGTACCTCTGTATTTTTGGGCCCCTGCCTAATGAACTTGCTGAATGCCTGTGGGCTTTGGCAGTCCTTTGTCTAGTTTGGGCTGGTTCAGAGATTTGAGATTAATTACCTTGTCAAACAGACTGGGTTCTGCTAGGAATGCAGTGACACATAAGGGATTTGGTGATGGTGTCTGACTGGAGGGCAGTTAGGGGGATGCAGTACAGCAGTGGCACCCACATCAGAGGTGAAGATGGCTTAACCTCAAACTAGTACCTGTAACAGAGGCCAGGGAGAATTTTTTTGACAGCCAAGTAATTGGTCTTGATGTGAAACATTTATCAAGAATTTTTTGGGTCTGAAATGGTGTCATATCCGTAAAAAGATCTATCTGTGGAATAGTCAGGGCATGTCCAAACATCATCTTGTGCCAAGTGTTTGTTTTCTACGTTTTTGCTGCTGAATGATCTTGCCTGGGGAAAAACTACATTTCTCAATAAAGTAATGCACCACCACCAAGCAGCCCCCTTCTCCAAAGCACATTAATGAACAAGCACTAAGCAGTGTGACAGAAAATATTTACTGTATTACTTTCCTCCCCAAGGAGATATATAATAAGGTATTCTTTTAACAAGTCTCATGTTTTAAAAACGGAATGAGTCACTAATGAATAAATTCATAAAATGTCAGTTCAGAGAGAGAATAGAATTCACAGCCTGTAGTTCTTTGGTCTTTTCTACTAGTAGGCACCATTGGATTGTCCTTCAAATGCATGGATCCCTTCTGTATTCACTCATTTCAAGAGTTTTCGTTGCCATCACATTCTTTTAAGTCAAATCAATCTCGTGCAGATGTTTTTCCTTAAATTTGCTTAGATCAGGACAGATTGGCATAGGTGAAGAAGATTACTGTTCCCTAATCCAACCAGCTCAGTTTGTCTCTGGTGTACCTTCTGTGCAGGGCTCGAGTTCTTAATGCCAATTTAGAAGTTAGAATTAGGTTGTTCCAAACTCCAAGCAACTCCCAAGTCAGTTGGTGGAAACCAGGAAACCAAGCCATTAAACAAGATGTGAATAAAGAAAATGTTACATTTAGACACAAATGCTTTGCTGGGTTTCTATCCCATCTGCATTTTCTTAAGCCAAAGTTGTACCAATGCTATACATTAGAAGTGCAAAAATAGCTATCAGAAGGTTGGGGTTTATTTATTTGTTTGTTTGTTTATTTGCTAGACATGGAGAGAGATTTTATGAGGATCTTATCCCTTTCATGTGCTTAAGATAGTTTTAAACTAACAAAGTTATAGGTATTTTAATAAACTTTGGCAGGAGTAATTGTAGAATTTTTTCCAGGTGGCCTTGCTCCAGAATGAAAGTTTGGAAAAGAACAAGAGTATACAAACTTTACATAATCAGATTTGTAGCTTTGAAATAGAAATTGAAAGACAGAAGGAAATGCTGCGGAATAATGAATCTAAAATACTTCATTTACAGGTAAGAAATATAGAATCTCCCCATTAAAGCAGAAATGGTAGTAGCTTCTGTTCTGTGCCTTTGTACTTGTGAAGTGAGGTGGTCTAGTTAAAAAGTGGGGGGGAGATATTTTACATTGTTAGAGAGCCATTCTGTTGTTTTTTTTCTTCTGGTTTGTTGTGTTTAACTGGGTAACATACTTCACTAAAACATTGCAATTGCCTAGCCCATGTTAAAACAAAAAAAAACCCAAACTCTTTAAAAAGGAAAAAAGTGGAAAACAAAATTGAAATATTAAATAATCATACTTTTTTTTTTACTTGGAAAAAAACTACTTAAGGCAGTCCTGCTGAAGGGCAAGGTTAGCACCTTAAAATTGTCAAGTATTATGTATATTTCTTTTTTACTTGCTGGTATTAAAAAATATATATGACTCATGAGTGAGATCAGTCTGATGTGGATTTAATTCAAACATAGCATAATGCATTGAATACACTTTTTGAAATTCCACATTTCTGTTGTCCTTCTGAGGAAAATTTTATCTAGTTATTCCTTTGCTCATAGGTCTGAGTTTCATGTTCTGTGTTTCGAATGCCTGGCCACAAGCCAGCACGAAACTAGAAATTCTCTGGATGCCCTGGCATGGTGGTTATCCCAGGCTGAAATTCCTTGTTCTGTATTCACAGCTGACTTGGAATGTGGGAATTTGTATTAGCTTGCATGATAGTAACCACAGTTAGAGAAGCCTCAGGAGATATTTAGCAAGCAGTTGTGGAGGTATCATTTACACATTAATGTAGTATGTCTGCTGCTGGAATATCAGATACCTGTTGTAGCATCCACTGTAAAGGAATGTAAATAAAATTATCTTTTTCACTCACTATTTACTTCACATATAAACTGCAAATGTTGATAAGAAAGATAACGATATCCAAACCAGTGTGTGGCTAAAATTCAAAGGGTGGCACATTCAGGAGTTCAGAGCCTGGAGACCCTTGATGGTGGTTTATGAGGAAACCTTCAAGTTTGGCAACTGCAGCATTTTTCCTTATAGCAGTAATTTCTTCCCATGGCCTGCCCACTTAGTAACCAGCTCAGCCTGCCTTAGTCATTGTTACTTGTCTGATGATAGTCTGGGATATGGCTGCCTGCTTGCAATATTGCATTCTGACACTGGGGAGCTAATCCTTGTATGTACTGATATTGCTGATTGAATCTACCAGGAGGTAAGTTAATTTGTAAGCCTGGAGTTCTTACACATGCTGTCTCAATGGCCAGCAATGAGAGTGGAAATGGAAAAACCACAGAGCAGAGTTTTTCATTATTGTCTTAAATGACAGACTGCAATATCTTTTTCCTCGAGCTGTAAGTGTTAGCAAAATCAATTTTCAAATGGATGGTTTAGGAAAAAAGAAAACCCCAAACCACTACAAAGCAGCAGATTCCAACAGGTGGCTTTGTGGTGGTAATAAGCACTGGAGAAAATGTTTTGCTCTTTTTTCTTTTTCTTTTTTTTTCCTTTTTCCCCTCTTCTTTTTTTATTTTTTTCCTCCTACTCTTTAGTTCCTCTTGCCAGTTATTTCAATTTAGTTATTTCAAGCCAAACTGTACTTCAAAGATATTTCCACCTGATTCCTTCCACTTAGCAGAATTTCCTGGTTCAGTCTAATTAGTAAGGGTTTCCTGGAAACACACCTCCATTTATTTTATCCTGGACAACTTGATCAGCCTCCTTCTGTTTCCCAGCAGGAGTGGAAGGAACGAGTTACCTTCTGTGAGCCGTTCTTTGCTGGCTTGTGTTGAGCAGCCGTGGTTCCACGGTGTAGCCACAGATACTGGACTAAGCAGTTCAGGTCTGGGCAAGGTGTGTTTGCTTAGTCCTCCAAGAGCTACAAATGCTACTGGGGTCCAGTACAGTCCCAGTATTGGCTGCCAGGTGACATTTTTTGGCTGGGGAGTGGCAGCAGCGTCACTGAGCATCATCTCTCTCTGAGGGGTCTGACACAACCGCTGTAAATGCATCAAGGGAGTCTGGGCACTGGCAGGAACCTCAGCCTAGAAAGGTTTTGTTTTCAGATGAGTTTTCTACATATTAGTCTCTAGGGATAAAGTGTTTTTACCAAGGGGGTGTGATACTTTTTTTGGCTGCTGTCAGAACTTTTACATGCAGTGTCCAGTCTTTCATATGGAAATGGAAGCATGTCAGTAAGCCCATTGTAAGGGGAGTGGGGACGTGAGGTACTGAGGGACAAAAGAAACAGTGGCCTACAGGAACATAAAATGATTTGATGAGTAATATGTTCCTTCAGAGGAGAAGGACACGTGATTTCTTTTCCAAGTCAAGCAGTACCTTTTCTAGTTTGTTCTTCAGCTTTTCAGTTTCGCCCTATCAGTTGCAATGGAAAGGTCATTACAGCTCTTCAATTCTTCGTGACATTTTCTGAAATTCTTTTAGTAAGTATAGTGCTAAAATTATGGAAGTTGTTAGAAATACTAAACAAAACCCTATATATGAAGATCAACATCAAAAGGAGCTCACAATGGTTTGCCAAGCACATAACTCGGGATTAATGATCCAGAGAGGTCATTGCTAGAGCGAAAAGTGCATGCAGAAAATTGATATCTACTTGAAAATTTATGAGTACAGTGTGAGACATCTGTGTGCTTTCTGATGGAATAATTAGAGTGAAAATCTCCACTGCTGCATTAAATTCAGATTTAGTACATCAGTATCTCCCAGCAGGAGGGAGGTTGAATCCCTGTAGGGTAAAAAGATAGAGATCCCACTGCTTTTTAAAAATTAAATAGAAGACTTATTTCTGATTATTTTATACCTCTTGAATTCTCATGTCAAGGTACAGTAGATAAAAATGATACACATTTACCAATGTGAAGCAGAAACAGCTAAACCAGAATTGGTTATGCATGTACAAAGGTGGAATGTTGCACAGGTTGATGGAGAGAAGTGGGTCCCTAATAACAACTTCGGGTAAACTTCTCCCAAGAGAACGGCTTACAATTCTTCTGCATGTTTAACACCTCCCCAGTTCATGTAAAAATGTGGCAATTTATTTTGTTTGATGCTGTGTTAACCCAAAGAGGTGCAAGCTGCGAGGCACTGTGCAAACGCCAGCCGTGTTACTGTTCCTGCCTTGAAGAGTTCATGTTTGGTATGAGTAAAGGAAAAATATCAGACTTGGGCATATTTTGAGTTACTTTTGCACATTAACTAGTGGCCAAATCCTTTGGCTCTGCTCTCACAACATGCATTCAGGCTGTGCTGGGGTATGTTTCCATATCTATAGATATATAGCTATATAGATATATATATGGCTAACAGCCCTTCCCTGCTCTATTTTCTGATTACCATCAGCCCGAGTGAGGGGCTGTGACTGTGTTGGTAGGTGGTGTTTTGTAAGTCCAGGAAAGCTGCTTCATATATTTACTGGGCCCATACCCCTGGCATTTATGATTCAGTGCACAGCTTTCCTTCACAAAGCACCAGTTCTGGAAATGAGAGATACATAACTTGTTTTGAAACATGAACATAGAAATAACTAGTTAATCTTGAAATACGTTACATTGCTCAGTGGTTTTGAGACAAAAAAATAAGATTTTGCTAGCTGGCTCATCAAATTGACAACCTTCAATTAATGGTTACAGACTTTGAGTATAACTGAAACCACGTGATTAAAAGCAAATGGCTCAAAGGGGAAATGGAAGTTGCATGAGGTAGAAGGGTTTTCCCCATCAGCGGGGAACACTGAATCCACATGGCCAACCAGAAGGCAAATGCAAAATAAATTTTATTTTATTGTTTTGTGCTTAACTGCCACTTTGCTTTTGTGAAGAAATGAAAAATCATGTTTACATTTGTTGGCTCTATATGATGATAAACTATAAAGCTATAAAGTTAGATTCGGAATTTAACTGTAGGTGGTAGCAAAAGTAGTTTCTTCTCTCAGATATTTTTGTTATCATTTGAACTTCACAACTGATTATAGGGTTCTGGCTAAAATTCCTGCTAGTCCAAATTAGCTGTGATAATGTGAAGTGCTGTGTATTTCTTGCATCAGATTTGAGGTAGACTGGAAATACGTTCTTGATATTTGTAATGTACTAAGGTGCTTGCAATGTCCCTCTTTCAGAGAATACTGGCCTTTCTGTCTATTTCTTTCTGGAGTGTTATATTTCATGCCTTTCCAAAACCAGCTGGGCTATATTTTCCTTTTTCTTAAAAAGACTCAACAGAAAATACCTTCAAAATGTGTGGGTTGTTGAGTTTAGGAAGTAAGAGTGGGAATTTTAAAGATACTTAAGGGGACAGATGTGGTCATTTTGCTTACAGGGCAAATTCTTGAGGGCTTCTGATACAGTTATGGGCACATCATAGCTCAGGCTTTGATGATTGATTTCAGTGAGCTGGGAGCTTGCACATGTGTGTACTTGTGTTCCATGTGTGCAAGAATAATGGTGTTTTCCTGGAGGCATAAGTTTTTTTGCTGTAAACCAATATAAACCTATGCACATGGGCAGCCATCTGATCCACACCACAGGAAGTTGTGCCCATATTTTGTTGCTGAAGTACTGTCACATGAAAGCAAACAAGTATCAGCCCATAATACCAATATGGAGACATTCAGAAAATTGTTCTTACATTGAAAGGTTTAAAAAAAAAATAAAAATCAAATTACCTTATACAATGGTTACACACTAACAAGTCCCTTTCTTAAAATAAAGCTATTGCTAATTCTGATAGTGCTCTACCTATGCAGTACTAAATATTTTGTGTTTCATAAATACCTGGGCTATTCCTTTAAATTTTCAAGGTTTGTGTCATTAAAATACAATAGACATAAGCAAAACTTGTTTATATTGGAATTCAGTGTTATTACTAACAGATAATTAAGTCTTTGTGTAATTTGCATAAATGAATGTCTTTGTGTTATTTTAACTCATGCTGTTATTTTATAAAGCGAGTGATAGACAGTCAAGCAGAGAAACTGAAAGAACTGGACAAAGAAATCCGTCCCTTCCGACAGAACTGGGAGGAGGCTGACAGCATGAAGAGCAGTGTGGAATCCCTCCAGAACAGAGTGACTGAGCTGGAAAGTGTTGATAAAACTGCAGGGCAAGGAGCTCGGAATACAAGTGAGTGTGAGCACAGTGGGCTGAGGTGCTGTTGAGAGGAAGACAGTGTCCCTTGAGTGGCATTCCCATTGTGACTTTTATATGGAAACATCAATAATGATTCTTCTGATTTTTGAGTAGGAGAGTGTGCATTTCATTTGTTGATGATGTGGCATTGCTTCTGTGCTTTTTCTTAGGCTTGATTCTTGTCTTCTACTTTGTTTTATTGACTCTTGTCTTGACTGCATTGTTAGCTCATTAAAAACAGTTTCTCAATTGATCTTTGATAGCTAATAGCTTTCAGCAACTTCTTTAAATCTAGTCTTGGTATATTGACATTTTCTACTATTCCTCTCCCCTGTGAATGGATCAGAATGGTTTTCCACCTGAAAACACCCATCCTGGTTCTGTTAGACAGGTGTAGACATCCTAAGAAAACTGAAATCTGCTTAAGAATAGGGTTATTGTGCTTCTGTGTAAAGACTGGAATTCAGCAGGACAGTGTAGATCACATGCAAGTGTTTAAATGATTATGACAAAGAACATTTAAATAGTCCTATATGAGATAAACCTACCTTATGAATTCATCTGCTTCTCAGTATTGCGTGTTGGCCAATTTTGCCAGTAAGAAAACAATAGAGTAACGTGAAAAGGGAAAGGGGGCACATAAAACATAGTCCTCCCTCCAAACTAAATAAACGACCATATAATACAGGTCTAAGCTTGAATTTTTTGGCTTTTTTTATGAAGAACTTTAGACATTGTCACAGCACTGTACTTCTGAGACAAATAGTATCTAAAAAGAATGTTTTGAATTGTCAGGAATGCTTCTGAATTTCAGAGGGATTACATAGGATGTAATAGGAGGCTTCCAAGGTCTTACCTGCTAAATAGCAATCTGCAGCATTACTACCAGATCTGCTTTTAAAAAATGGAAGCCTCTAGTTATACTGTTTAGTGACCAGGAAAAATCTGTTAAATGATTTGAATATTTGACTTTCACTGCATGTTTGATTAACATCCACGTTTGTAAAAATCCCAGCTAACCTAGATACCAGCCAGCAAATTAGAGCCTGTAGAAATTGCTTCATCAGTGGCCAAATGCACTTTGGTTGTCGAGGAGGAAAGTGTTTTGGAACACAGCACTGGTGATTGATTTTTACGGTCTTTAGTAAAAAGCAGGGTTTCTCACCCCTATCCTTTCTGTTTCTGCCAGGCCTGCTGGAGACCCAGCTGAGCAGGCACGATCAGATGCTGAGTGTTCACGACATTCGGCTGGCTGACATGGACCTCCGCTTCCAGGTTCTAGAAACTGCAAGTTACAACGGAGTGCTGATTTGGAAAATCCGAGATTATAAACGGCGGAAGCAAGAAGCGGTCATGGGGAAGACTCTGTCCTTGTACAGCCAACCCTTTTATACTGGATACTTTGGCTACAAGATGTGTGCCAGAGTTTACCTGAACGGAGATGGCATGGGAAAGGGGACGCACTTGTCTCTGTTTTTTGTCATAATGCGTGGAGAATACGACGCTTTGCTTCCTTGGCCCTTCAAACAGAAAGTGACTCTCATGCTCATGGATCAGGGACCGTCTCGACGCCACTTGGGAGATGCTTTCAAGCCAGATCCAAACAGCAGCAGTTTTAAGAAGCCAACTGGAGAAATGAACATTGCGTCTGGCTGCCCAGTCTTTGTGGCTCAAACTGTTCTAGAGAATGGAACGTATATTAAAGATGATACTATTTTTATTAAAGTCATAGTGGATACATCGGATCTACCAGACCCCTGACATACACTGGGGGAGGCGGATTAAACAGAAGGCAACTCCGTTTGGGGGTTTTATATCAGTTTGTCTTCAATCAGAGGTCCTAAAGCTCACAGAACCACCTTGTGGAACAGATGGAAGAGTTTGAAGGCATAACTGCGTAGGGTCCAATTGAGAAAGTAGCAACACATTAAGAAATCATACCATGGTATATTTTTTAATAGAACTAGCAACACTTGAGCTCTGAAGAATCACTTATCCTTCATCAGGGAAGTGATTACGGTCAGAGAGGATTTTTTTTAACTTATTAATGATCTAGTCAATTGGAGGTGAAAAGACATATACAGTATGTGCTGAATCAATTACTGACTTTTATTTCTCTTAAGCTAGAATACAAGAAAAACCCTTCACATGTGGGCTAGCTGGAAATTGTCAGCATGTTAAAAGAAGATGAAGTAATGTTACAATTATGATATTCTTTGAAAAACTGAGGTGCAATCTTGTCTGAAATATAGTATATTGTCTTTTTAAGGCCTCATCTGGTCTCTGTTTTAATAATTACTTTGTCAGAAGATCTTGGAAAAGTATCCATGTCTTCTCAAAAGTATCTGAATCAAAATCATATTTTTATTTAAAGTTCTATTGTTACAAAAAACATTTTATTTTAAAACTGTTGATAGACTGATATTTCTTGGAAGAAAAAATAGAAGATATCAAACACTGGTTATCACTTGTGATAGGAAAAAAAAACTATTCAATTCTGTTATTTCTCTTTAGAAATGTAAACCTACAATATATGTCGTAGTTAATGACACTATTTCAAAATTAAGGAAAAATCACTCATGGATGCTGTGCATCATTATCAGATTTATAATTGTTTTCACCCTAAAATAGGGCATTTGTTGAACTTTGGAGTTCTAAACGGAATCCTGTACATTTTTTAAAGTTCTGCCCCATGCTTTCCAATCAAGCTATATATGTTGCACATTATGCTGTCAGCAGTATATAGTATTTTCAGTATTGGGGAGGAGGATTAGTGCTGAAAAAAGCCTCTATGTTTGTTCTGTACTAGCAGCCATTGCTTAAAGACAAACCAGCAATGTCCTAATACAGTGATGGTGGCTTGCATGCATACATGTGCCTTAGATGTGCTGTGCTGCTTATAAACCATAGCTTTTTATTCAGATTAATTCTGATATCTGAAATGGTAGTTTAATTGGACTTCAGGCATAATGTTTAGCCTTGTCTTCAGAGCCCTTAGGTACCTTGCAATGTATGAAACAGAAGCCAGAGCCCACTCCTTTGGCTTCTGCAGCTTCTATGACTTGGCCATGGTGGAATCCATCCTACTGAGGTGCCAAAACGTTATGCTCAGTGCTCCTATGGAGCTTGGACTAGACAGACTCCATGGCCACTGTGAAGGCAGGTGACATTTTTCCTCTAATGCCTGTGCCTGTAAGGTGGCATCACTTGAAACGAATCCATCTGAGAACTCTGGGGCTGTGAATATGGATGCTCGTGGCAGCTTCTCATAGCAGACAAGCATCCTAATGGGGAATGCATGGGCTTCTTTCTTGTAGCAGCCTGAACTGCAGTGGAAAGCATTTGCTAGCCCTGAAACATGCTGACTGCAACCTGCTGTGTTCATCTGCTTCTATTTAATAGCCTGTGACAAGCAAGTCCAGAGACACAGCCTGACTGTGGTGCTCTTTAAAATCCTGCTTAAGCAGAGTGGGCTTGCACCACTGTGTTTTCAGCCTTCATGGGCTTGAAAAAACCTATTGCATCTCAGCCTTTAATGTCAGGCTGTATCAGTTTTCTGCTTTTTCGAGGCATAGTCACAATTTTTGTCTAAGGTGCAGTTGAATTCATGCCTTTGTATTTCAGCTTGTCTTTGCTGTTGTCTTTTTTGGCTGTGCCTTCACACACAGTGCCTGCAAGAAGTATTTATGGATATACAATGCATGCTAAGTGGTCTTCATGGGTTTTCCAGGCACCTGCTAGAATACTGCCTGCTGCTGACTGTCCTGACCGTCGGCAGCAACTTGTCTTCCTTTTCTTGCCTTCCATTGTCCGGGTACTGTACTCCCTCTATGGTACGTGGCTGTCAACAGGTGCAAGCTCAAATGTGGAGGCACCTGCTAGCATTTAATTTCTAGCACGGAAGGAGGATGTTCTGCACAAGAGATAAATATCTATAGATATACCTGCATCTATATCTCTAGATATAATTGTATGGCACTTGCAGTTTTATGCAGGCTGCATAAGTAAACCCATCACTTACGCTTTAGGGCGAAGGTTCGCTCGACTTGTGTCATTTTAATAATTGTGAATGTAGGCAGCTGAGCTTTTGTGTTTGTGCATCACAGAATTTTACTGAAAACAGGATTCCCAAGTGGAAATGTCCAAAGGACTCTCCTCCCATTGCTAATGCATGTCTTGTAAAATTAAATGAAACCGTTTGGCCATCTCAAAACAGTTTATATCCTGTTTCAATCTGGGACTTGGAGGAGATTTCTAGTATAAGCAGGGCCCAGCATATTCTGCAGATTTGTGACTACAGTTTCCAACTTCTGTGACAGAATTGCGCTTCTAAATCCAAGCTCTTTAAAAAGAGGAGGAATAAAAGCATTTCCAGCCTTGGTGACTGAAAGAGGACTTTGAAACATGCGAATGTGTAAACCAATAGGGAAGTCTTCCTGAGTCTGCACACAGCCTAAACTAGTAGCTTTAAGAGATCTGAATATCTCGTCTTGGTGGGATATTGACTCAGAAACTTCACAGAGAAGTTTAAATATGAACACTGCTAACTATCTAAATGCCGATCACTGTAGCAGAAACATCAGTCACTGTTGTATTTCACAGATCTCTATGCTGCTTTCCACATCTCCCAAGTGCCAAAAGCACCAGCTGCCAGAATCTTCAGCTTCACTTGGGCAGCTTTTATAATGCAGTAATGTGCTATCGATATAAAAATATTTTTGCATATGTGCTTTTTATCACAGTTAATAAAATGGAGGCCTACTGCACTTATTTTTTAAAACTACATGAAGCTGCCAGAGAATTTCCAGTTTGCCAACCCTGCGTACTGTGAAATCCAGGATCTTGCTACACAAATTAGACACCGCCTGCTGTGGAATACCTGAAGCCTTGACTGTAACACCCCTTTCTCCGCAGAACTCACAGGCCATCTCTGTAGAGTTCTTACTGTGTACATAGAAATCGGTTTCCTCTGCTTTCCAGCAAGGAGTATGTAGCATTTTGTGAAAACAAGGCCACTGTATATTCTCTAAGTTGAAAGGAAAAGATACCTGGTGCTTTACTCAACACTTTTAAGTTATTTAACTGTTTCTCTCATCGCTGAAATGCCCTTTATCCTTTTTCTCTTTGTTCCTGACTGAGGTATCCAAAGTTTTCTAGGGCCTGTCTGTTTAAAGTGATTCATGGGACAACAACCTGCCCCCAAGGTATACTCTTGAATCCCGGCAAACTCCGGGGGGCTGTCGCTATTGCAAGGGAGTCCCAGAGTATTTGTGTTACTTTGAACAGAGTTTGTTCGGTGCAACCATATTGTCCTCTACTTAGTAATTCTTAGCAGCACACGACTGAAGTCTCTTGCTGGTGTTCTTTCTTCATGGTGATGCTCCAAGTTATGTACAAACCTCTCCCGTGTCCAGCTTCCTCTAGGGAGATTCCAGTGTGTGACAATCTGGATGTTGCCCTTTGCGTGCACTCTTCAGCACAGAGTGCACCTGTTACCTAGTCTTGAATCCTAAACAGGATGAAACCTTTTGGGTGTTTAAAGACCAACCTGCAATTATGATGCATGACCATGTCTGTATTGCTTCTCTGAGCTAATTAACTGGGGTCTTGTTTCAGTTACTGTCTACACGGTACACCTTCAACTGCTGACTTACAATATGCAATGTTGATTTCAGCCTTGTACTGTAAATGTTGTTCTTCACAAAGAGAATGTGCAATAGGAAAAGGGAGTAGTGGGTGGCATACTTTTGATGGAAAAAACACGCTAGATTTTTAAAAATACGGGAAAAAAAAAAAAGAAATGCAGTTTATTTCCTTTTCTCATGGTGGTTTCTACTTGGAAAAGGAAAGATGAAGATATGTGCCTGTTTCTATGCCTGGTGAATTTCTCAAATGCAAAGGTAATAGAGATTTGTGTTAGCTAGGATTTAAGTGTTGAACCCACGAATGTTAGGTTGTGATTGTATCGCTTGTGTTTCCTCAGCTTGCCACGATTATGGCTCACTGAGGTGGAGTTTAAAAGCTACCACCTATTTGTATCTGTATTCCATCACCTGGGATAGGCATTTCACCCAACAGTGCAGGGTATCTGTTGATATTTTGTCTAGTTTTTAAAACTCTGGTGCTCATTGGTCCAAGACAGAGAAGCGTGTAGGGAGTGACAAGGAAAGTTGCCTGCACTGCAGAAGAGTGAAAAATGTGACTGTAGTATTGATGCCTTTGATATGATATAACTATGCAAATATACAAATAGGTGAGGGGGGAAATTCTTGGGTTGCTTACCTAATCTCTTAGATTTTGCTCTGTAAATTTCTTGTATGTGTGTAGGTACATACATATACACACAGACATGCATGCACATAAATATGCAAAGTCTTTTCTTTATGTAGAAGTGATGAAACAAAACCCTTTCCTCCAAGTTATACTTGATCAATTGGTGCAAATATAACTTGCTGCTGCTAAGGGAGGATCTTGGCTAAGGGCAAACTTTGGTTCGTATCTTTCAGGTTTGAACACCTGTATGTAGCAAACACTTAGTTCAGCTTTTCTGAAGACTTTGAATTGTAATTTAGGACACATGTTCTTCCTCATGCTCTGATAATTTGGAGATTCCTGTATATTGAACAACTGCAGTGATGGGCAACTTTTTAATTGCAAATTATTTCCTCTGCTTTGGAACAAAAAATGATAAGAAGCATCTGGACCTCTTCCCTGGAATTCCTGTCCTGTTCAGTCAATAACTTGATATTCTGGTTGAGTTAGAAGTCAAAGCCACTGCAATAAAAATGATTGGTTTAACAGTTTAATCTGAGAATGGTTTTTAATACTGTGTACAGTGTATAGCAAGTGCTATTTCTCTTCTTTGGAACGAGGAAATCAAGGATGAGATATGATTTGCCCAGAGTCACAAAAGGAATCTCCTGGAGCTGGGACCGAATGAGAGGTTCCAGTTCCCTGGTATTATCTCTGAATCATGAGGTTTTACTCTTCTAATACATTTGTCCCTTAATGGAACTGGAAAATCAGTTGACATACCCTGAAGACCCACATCAGGACAGTAAGGGCTAGAATTAAACATACAAGCTGTCGTGATTTGGGGTTGCACACACGTGGTGGCCCAGACGTGCAGAGTGAAGGCCAGCACAGCCTGTCAGTGTGAGTAACACATGAGCAAACACGTGTCCTGCTCTGTTTGTTCAGAATCATCTAACAAAACCAGTCTCGTTTGATGCTCCTCTTAACTAAGGAGGGAGAACACCATTGTACAGCAAAGTGGGTTCATCTTTGTTCTACCAGTCAGTGTGACTGACCATTTCTTTCTTGTGGGACTTTCTCCCTTTTTCTGTAAACCAGAATCTGGAGGGCTTAATTGTTCTTTCTTGCCTCTTAATCCAGGCCTTTGCAGAGAAGCACCGGATAGGAAGGCTGTGGAAAACTTTGGACTGCTGATTCAGGGACATCCTCTTAAGATTTAGAAGAGTAGAGTTATACAACATAAGGGATCTGACTATTCCTGTTTCTCTTCTAATATATGGTCAAGACTGCAGCTTCTGTCTTCCATTTCATGACGTCAGTGTAGATATTAGGCTGTGTTTTTCCATTATTTTCCCTCCAAGTTAGGATTAGTTCCTTAGGGTTCAAGTAAGTTCTGAATTTCACAGAGAAGCACCTGAACCAAAACCCTGGATTCAAACATCCCAGACTTGATGTGGAACTCAAATCTGGATCCCAACTCTGTGGCTTACTAACCTACCCATTCAGGGAAGGGTTTGTTGTCTCTATGTGGTGTTTGTGTTTTTGGTCCTTTGGAACTAAGCTTTTAATTTGGTTGCCAGTTCTGCAAGGACTTTTTAACTTCTTAGTGATGCCGGTGTTCACACGCTCCATTGCTGGCAGTGCGATGCGTAGTGATAAAATTTGACTCTGTCTAAGGGTTACTGAGATAAACCAGCATTATCATTCGTAAAGGTCATTTTCTTGCATAGTGTTCCGAGCTTTGTATTTGAATATAGCTCGCACCTGAAAGGACACATCTTCCAACTATGACCTGCATCACTGGCAGAGAGTTGTGTAATCTGTACTTGTGGAATGGGAAGGTACAAGCTTCCATCGTTGCTGATGCATCGTGTACTCCACCTATTTTGTTTGTCTTATAGCTGTTGTTCGGTTAATACTTCTTTTTTTTTCAGTTTTATAGAAAAAAAAAATGGGGAAGTTCAGGATTTTTTCTACAAGGTATAAAACTCCAATGAATTAGTGGTGACTAGAGAGCTGTGAAAAATACCCCATTAGGAGATGATGGGCTAAATGTAGGTCCATTTCTCTTAGACAAGTAGGATAACCTTTAAGATGCATGGAACAACATAATAATCGGGAAAACTGAAGCTTACATTTGTTTCCAAGAAATTCTGTGAGAACTATCTATGGAAAAGACATCAGTGATTGAGAATAATGTACAAATTAATGTGTTTGAAACTTGTGTATCCATTTCTTTAATCTCATACTCTTCAGTGAACGGTACACTTGTGTTCAGTTTTATGATCAAAAACAAAGACCAAAGAAGGCCAGCCTCATTTGATTGTGTATATTCTGCCTGTCTTAATTATCAATAGCTGTAAGGATACAGTGCAAGTGATCTGGTAACCAGTGGTTCTCGTCCTTTTCTTTTAGGGGGAAAAACAATTTTAAAATGTATAATTTATTGCTCAGCAATAACCATGTTGTTAAAATAATAAAAAAAAATAATTAATTAGCAACATGTCTTAATTTCCCAATAGCATTATTATATGTTGTATTTCAGTTTACTGTATATTGTGTTTTTGTATTTATTTGTGTTTGGAGGTCTTGCTATGTCTTTTTGTGTTTAAATGCTAATAAACAAGGACAGTGTGTAAGAGTGTAGAATGCTGAACTCTGAAATGCTAAACTGTGTTATTAAAGGAAAAATAAATAAGTAGGAAATCATATTTTTTAAAAAAACTTGGTGTGTTGAATTTGAATGACGACTGTTCACTTGCAGATGGCCAGGGTGCATCCTTCCTCCTCTGTGAGCATGCTGCATGTTGGCTGTTCAGTGCTTTGGGCTCACACACCTGATAGAGCTTTACTGTGGCATTTCCCATCCTCTGCACAGGTAACTTGCCATAAATTCAGTCAGACTCCTATTTTCCATCTGCTAACTCTGCTGGAATAAACCAGGCAATGGTGTTCATCCTAACACCAGAGTTGAGAGACCTTGTGCAAACAGAGTAGAAATAAATGGGATGGCTTTTCATGCATTTGGGGTACACTGCTTTCCCAGAGAGGTGTGGGAGAGTTGAAGCATAGCTTAAGTGTTTAAAGATGTATATATCTTAGTTTTTCTTCTCTTGTGTCATTAGGGACTCCTCTCAGCTCAGAACCACATGGCAGGTGTGTGCTTGAAGTCACAGAACATGATGCAGTCTGTAAAAACACCAGTCAGTTCTGGAATGAGTGGAGCAATATTTGCACCACATTTCAAATTCAGCCTAGGGATGAAACCCCCGATCCCCTGTGGTGTTGTACGAAGCATGCAACTTCTACTGAGCACCACTGTCATCCCTCCCACCCCTTTCTTAGTGAAATTTCAGTTTCCCTTCCTTCCCATCACTGCAGGGGTGGAACTGGGTTTAGCAATGTGCTCACACCCAAGACTGCAGTGTCTTGGCAGAAGCCACCGCTGCGTTGCTGGCACTGCAATGGGAGAACGACCTGGCCAGCCCATCCTGTCCTGGTGTTTGGAACAGGCAGAGTGAACATGCTGGGCAGCCACATTCCATGAAATGGGGGTGCCAGGGAAATGGCAAATGCAGGCAGGTGGGCATGGTGAGAGGGGAGGGTGGCTAAGAAGTGCCATCCTCACCTCGTGCAGGATGTGCTGAAGTAGACGTTGCCTTTGCTGCTGAAAGCAGTCGCTGTATGTGGCTGTGGATGCTCCGACCTCTGCTGTCCTACTCATCAGTGTTCCACTCACACTCCCAGTGTTGGCACTTGAGGCTGCACTGCCTGAAGCTCTTCATAGCTCTGCTGTGGAGCATGAAGGGGTGGTGAGCTTCCTTGTCTTAATGAAGTGGGTTACCTTCCAGCAGAGTCCTCTGGAGAGGAGACTCCTCCTCCCAAATTGGGGAGCTTGGTGCTGCTCAGATGTGACACTTCCGTCATTACAAAGCAGCAGGATATGCAGAGAGGAAACAAATTGCTTCAAACATGAAGGTAAACACTAATTCTCTCCTCACCTCCCTGCTCCTCCTCCCCCGTAATTGAAATGGCACGTGGTGCCCTCCCTGGCTCCAGTGAGGCTTTGTAAAAGGTTTCTTCTTCATGCCAGGTCCCAGAAGGTGACTGCCAGCTTCATGAGGTCCTTTCCCCCTGTGGGCCACCTGGTACTTAAGGTGACATGAGCAGAGTGCCAGCTCTGGGAGCACCAAGCAGCCAGGGAGAGCAGGGTGAGGAGCTCCTGGGCTATGGAGGGTGCTGGCTGACAGGAACGCTGCCAGAGCCTGGACCTGCTGCTAGGGACATCTCTTGGAAGAACTGCAAGGGTTTTTTTTAAAGTTTTTGGGAAGCTTTCCAGAGTTTCAGACCTTGGGTTTGCTTGCTGTCTGGTAAGAAGTCAGAGGTTTTCAAAATGTTCAGTCCTGTGTATCCATGCTTCCATGTGACCAAGTCCTGGAATTGTCTGAGGAATGGGGAAATACCCAGTGATCAAAACAAGTGGTGAAAGAGGTGATTTCCCCCAACCTTCCCCAAAACCAGTTATTTCATGAGTCAGTTGTGTGGCTCCTTCCTGCATGCCTAGATTGAGCCCTGGAGGCTGTTCCTGTCAAGTAATGTGTCTGGCTTGTTGTTTGGCCAAAACAGATGAAAACCCAAGTATCTTCCCTACCCTCCTTGACAAACATGGCACCTGGGGAGGCTGAGCCCACTCAGATCCCTTGCTCCTTCAAGTGAGTCTTTGGCAGTGAACACTGGACCTGAGCACATGCTCTGGTGTGTTCTGTAGGCTCACAAGAATGGGGAATGGCCCATGGCAGGAACTGAATTCCCACTGGCTTGGCTGACAAACCCAAGAGACCTCAGGGACTGACTTCCACCCTGCAGGCTGCACCTTGGCTTAGGCAATGTTTGGGCACAGCTGGTTTGGTTGCAGCTGTGTTTTGGCAGCATGGCTGTGTGAGTGGAGGTGGGAGCTGTCTGCAGACACTCAATGACTGCTCTGTGCCGATGCAGAAGCTTTGCAGAGATCACATGGATTTCTATCAGGTATTTCTACCTGGCAGGCAGAAGTGGCATCTGCCTGGGCATACCCTGTGCCATCAGCCTGCAGGAGCACAGGGGCCTGTCCCCAGCCACAGCCCCTTTAGCAGGTGTCCCTGCAGGGGTAAGTAGTGATGGCTGGTGAAAGGTGCTCAGTTTTCCAAGGATAAAAAGAAATCCCAGCCATGCCCAGGGTTGGATGGAGTGGGCTGGTTCCAGTGGCCAACAGCTTGGCCTGGGCTCAGGGCTGAGAAGCAAACAGCTCATAGCCCTACTTCCACAGCTCTGTAGCTGCTCCTTACAGACATCCCTAATCAGAAGCTCTTATTCCCCTGCTTCACATTACAAGGTAAGAAGTGAGTTGGAGTGTGGCTTCCAAATGTGATCCCCTCCAGTGGCTTCTCCTGCCTTGCTGCCCTGAGGGTAAGGTGTGGCTGCTGGAGGCCTGTAAATGCTGGGTGAGTTTCTCTTGCTGGATTGGCGTGGAGCTCCAAAGAGAGATTGACTGGATATTCAGCCTCAGCTCCTGACCAGCCCTGAAATGAGGCTGTGCCTCTCCTGGCAGCACACACAGCTCCTCTGACACCAGAGATTGGTTCTGGCAGTATAGATGGTGCTGTTGCACCCAAGACTATCTCTTTTTTTTAAATTAAAGGAAATCCCACATGGGGATTTTCTCTGGTTGATGCTAGGGGCTGCCTGCATTAAGGGCAGCCATGAGAGGCTGTCATCTGCCAGGGCCTTTCTCCTCATTTATTGAAGCTTAGCTTCACGTTGAAGCCATCAGCAATGCTGCACTGTGCCAAGGAGACTGGCAGACATTGTGTGCTTGGGTACAGCCCAGCTCCCACGGGGGGTGCCTTCAGCACTGGGGGTTTGGAGACAGTTTTTGGCACACCTCTGCCTTCTCCCCCCACTGTTTGAGGCCATGGCATGTAATATGGTTACCAGAGAATAATTTTTCCATGCACTTAATGACTTTCTGGGGATGGTGCCATTGCTGCCTGATGTCCCCGAAGGGCTTTAGGAGGTGGCTCTGCTGGCTGGCTAAGGGAAGCAGTGTTTTTGGCTTTGATGCCCATTTATAACTCAAGGCTGGGAAGGTGAAGCATCCACTGAGAGCTGTTTTCTCTCTGTGGTGGCGATTTGCTTGCCCTCCCCCAGGGGCATTGTGGACAGCCAGCACTGGGGAGCAGAAGGATGAGCAGGCAGCAAGGAGTAAAATGTGCTGATCTCTGCATTAGAGCAGATGATTTAATTTCTGGGGATTTACTTCTCTTTCCTTTCAGCTTTGTGTCACTCTCCCTTTAACCACCTGGGCCAAACCTTGCTCCTGTGCAGCCTTCCCTTGTCTGCTCTGTCTTCCCAGGTCTGTCTGGTCCTGAGGCACAGCAGCATCTTGGGACAGTAGCAACAACAAAAGCTGGGATGGAGAGGAGCGTTCTCCAGCCATGGGGAGAGACCCACAGTGAGGACTGCATTATTCTGACAGGTTATTCAGTGATGCTGCAGTGAGCACCTGGCCCCAGTAATAAGTTTTGCTGGAGTTCCTGTCATTCCTCTACCCTGCCCTGTCCTACCCTAATGCTGGAGCAGGGGCTGTCCATCCTTGAGCAGGGTTTCACAGCCAGATTGGGGATTTTTGATGTCTGCCTGCTGGCCAGATGAATTCCAGCTCATTTAAAGTGAAGTGTCAGCTTTGGTGGGACAAGCAGCACTGAGAAGCAGCAGCTGCAGAGTACAGAAAGTAAAACTAAGGGTGTGGAGTACATCCCAGCATGCTGGGTTTCAGGAGCTGTGGCACTGCTCTCTGCACAGGGTCCCATGAGCAGCTTCTCCCATCCTGGCTGTGCTGCAGGATGCTGAGGCCACAGACAAGATGCACCTGCCCTCTGCACACTGCAGTCCTTTCTCCAAGCTCTTATTTGCAAGTATCCATGATTTATAATTTTTCCCCTCTCTATTAAAATACAGGACATCTCACTGCAGCCAGCATTCACCCTGAGAGTCCCCTAGGAGAGATTTGTGAGTGGTAATTAGAGTGCAGGAGCCTTTCACCTCGAGGACATCTCTCAGCATTGAGCTCCGTGGGCAGAAAGCGCTGACTGTGTTTTGGCTGATGCCCAAGCTTAGATCTGCAGCTCTAAGGAGCTTTCTCTCCTGGCACCTCAGTCTGCCTGCCAAGCTGGAAGCTAGGAACCAGGGGGAGTAAAAATGGTGGAACGGGGATGGTTTGCTTCCCACTCCTGCACTCTTCAATCCTTGCTGGCATCAGGTGAGAGCTTCCTGTGGTCTGTGACCCTTCCACTGGATCACCCTTACAAGAACTTCTCCAGTCTCTTCCTGGCCCCTAGTAAACCCCTGCCTTCAGCAATTTTCTGCCCTTGCCCTGCCGGTACCATGCTGTGGCAGAGCTCAGGGATGCTGCAGTCCCCCCTGGTGCTGCATCCCCCGGCAGCGCCGCAGGAGCAGCGCGGGGCTGTGCTGGCGCTGCCGGCTAATGAGCGAACCAGCTGCTGGCCAAAGTACAATTACGGGGCTGGGAGCTGCTCCCTTCCAAGCCAGCTAATTGAAAACCATGGAGGCTGTTATTAGCAATGACGAGGTACCGCTGTTCAGCAGGG